GCCCTACTATCACCAAGAAAATAGAGCCAGGAATAGAGTGTATTCTTTTGACATGAGGTCCCTGTACTGTGAAGCTCCTAGATCCAGAGGAAGATTGATGCCAAAATGCAAGGAGGTCTGCAAGGAATCTTGGTCCTATAGATGCTGAAAGGTGACAAGGACTTTCCCCCAGAACAGGCTGTCTGAATTTGGAATTCTAGCCTCCTAGACTGTGAGAAGTCCTGGTGTGGTGCAGTAGGGGCACTGGACCACAGGGGCAGTTTGAACTGCAAGGTCAATGGTTCAAATTTACCAGACTCCCTGGAAACCCTACACAGGGTCACTATGAGTCAGAACCAACTCAACAGCACTTGACAACAGCAATAACAAACTGTGAGAGAATACATTTTATTTTGTTAAAGCCATTCATTTGTGGTATTTCTGTTATGTCAGCACTAGATAACTAAGACACCAACCTTGTATGTATGGTAAGTATTGACAAGCCAGCTGACTCATGTTATTGCTACTTGCTTCTAACTCATACTGCATAAATTTGGTTCTGACTTACAGTGACCCTATGTAAAATAGAATAAAAATTGCCTGGTTCTGTACTCTGCTAACAATAATTCTTTTATTTGAGCCTATTGTTGCAGCCACTGTGTCAATCCATGTCATTAAGGGTCACCTTCTTTTTTGCTTACCATCTACTTTACCAAGTATGATGTCATTATCTAGGGACTCTTTCCTCCTGATGACATACCCAAAGTATGTGAGACAAAGGCTCCTCACTCTTGCTTCCAGGAACTTTCTGACTGTATGTCTTCCAAGACTGAGTTTCTCTTTTCTGGAAGTCCATAGTACATTTAGCATTTTTTGCCAACATCATAATCCAAAAGCATCAATTCTTCTTTAGTCTTCCTTATTCATTGCCCAGCTTTTGCATGCATATGAGGGAGCTGAAAACACCATGGCTTGTGTCACATATACCTTAGACTTAAGAGTGACATCTTTGCTGTTTAATACTTTACTGAAGTCTTTGCAGCAGAATTGTCCAGTGCATTATGTCATTTGTTTTCTTCACTGCTGCTTCCATGGGCATTGATTGTATTTCCAAGTAAAATGAAGTCCTAGAAAACTTCAATTTTTTTTTTCCATTTATTTTGGTCTGATTATGGCCCAGTTGTGAGGATTTCCATATTGAAGGCTGGTCATCAAGTGCTTCAAGACCACTTCACTTTTATAAAACACGGTTGCGTCATTTGCACATCACATTTTGTTAATGAGCCTTCCTCCAATCTTGAAAGCCATGTTCTTCTTCATATAGTTCTGTTGCTCAGATTATTTGCTCAGCACACAGACTGAATAAGTCTGATGCTCACGTATCCTAATTTTAAATGACACAGTATCCCCTTGTTCTGTTCCCAAGGTTGCTCTTGATCCATGTACAAGTTTTGCATGAGCACAATTAAGTGTTCTGGAAGTTACATTCTTTACAATGTTATCTATAATTTGCTATGATTCATGCAGTTGACAATGAAACACAGGTTAATATTTTTTTGTTGTTATCTGCTTTCAGCCAAGATCCATCTGATATCAACAATGATATGCCTCTTTCCACATCCTCTTCTGAATCTGGATTGAATTAAAGCACCATATACAATAGAGTCAAATGTGGATTTTTCACACTCTTACAATCGTTGCCATGTTTGAGCCCTTTGTTGAAGCCACTGTGCCGTTCTCTTTCTCTCTGATCCTCTACGTTACTCCACATGATGTCCTTCTCCAGGGACTGATTCTTCCTGATTGCAAGTACAGTGCTTGACTATCTATAAGCTGCTCACTATCCTGGGCAGAGGGAAGTATGTTAGTCAATCATTGGAGGAAGACAAGTGCTTGGCCTGGGTGTGAATGTGTAGAGTGTGCTGGGGGTAGTATGTAGTGGCTTCTGGATGTAGGTCTTGAATTCTTGCATTAAGATTTACCCAAACTGATGGGTTATAGAGTCTTTAAGAAAAATGAAATTCACCAAATATAAGAAGTAGAAGAGATACTCAGACACATGCTAAATCTGAAGTGTCAAAAGGCAATGCATTCATTTGTCTCCTGAACTGTAGAACAGGAGCTTGAGATAGAGCCTAAGACTAGAACTGAAATTTGGGCATCATTTATAAATTAATGACTGATAACTTTTAGAGGTCCCCAAGGGAGTTGTAGGATAAGCACTGGACCACAATGGTGGTGGTTCAAACGTACTAGACATGCCTCAGAAACCCTATATAGGGTCAGTAAGAGCTGCCCCACACTCGACGGCACTTAACAAGAACAAAAGGGGAAAAAAAAATAAGAAAAACAAGAAAATAAGAGGCCTGTACAAGGTCAAAACCTGAGGGTAGTGTCTAGATAGGGGGATAAGAAGAAAACAGAGTTAAGGGCTAGAAGAAGTATAGCAAATATGCTCTATTAGGCTAGTCTTGGCTCTAGAGTGCATTGTTTAATATGTAGTTGGAATACTTTACCAACTTGTTAAATCAAAAATCAACAACCACAAAAACATTAATTATTCTGTCTAGAATTATTCTAACTAGAATTATAAAAGATCAGTTTTTTTTATCCTGGAGCTTTGTTGGATTGATTTATTATTTTTTTTAGACATTTGCAGATGAAGCTTTTTCATCTCTTTAATGACTTCACACATTTTAATTAGACATGTTTTAGTAGTGAGCCCATTCATAATGACTTTAGAAACAAAGAAAGACAGAGAACAAATTTCACCAAACTGCTGAAGTTCTGCTTTGGAGGGCTTTAGTTAGGCTACAGGACTTCCTGGTTCTGAATATTTTAGAGGAAACTTTGGAGACAGAGTAGATGTATGAGCTACCAAATAAAGTTATTTTGTCTTTAATTTTTTTTAATCCATCATTTGAACTCCTAGCAGAAATCTTTGAGTCATTCTTCATCTTCTTGCCCTTAAACATAGAGTAAAACATAGATGTGATACTTCTGTTGATTGAGAAATTTCTTTTTTCATTTATTGACTGAAAATCACAAAGGTCTTCAGATTTCATTGGAGACCATTAAAAATATACCCCTGGTACAGGCTAAAACTAAGACAGTGCTTCTCAAAGTCTGGTCCTCAGACCAGCAAGAGCAGCATCACTTGGGAAATGAATATCAAGTCAAATTATCAGACCCCATCCCAAACCTTTCTTTACATCTTAACGTCAAGAAAACAAAAATCCTCACCACTGGACCAATAAACAATATTCTTATCAACGGAGAAAAGATGGAAGTTTTCAAGAACTTCATTCTTCTTGGATCAACTATCAACACTCATGGAAGCAGCAGTCAAGAAATCAAATGACATATTGCCTTAGGCAAATCTACTGCACAAGACCTTTTTAAAGTGTTAAAAAGCAAAGATGTTAGCTTGAGGACTAAGGTGCACCTGACCCAAGCCATGGTATTTTCAATAACCTCATATGCATGTAAAGCTGGACAGTGAATAAGGAAGACTGTAGAAGAATTGGTGCATTTGAGTTATAGGTGGAAGATCAGAGAAAAAGAGGAAGACCCCCCCAACGAGATAGACTGGCCAAGTAGCAGCATCGATGGACTCAAACATGGCAACAATAGTGAGGATGGCCCAGGATCGGGCAGTGTTTGGTTCTGCTGTGCATAAGGTCAGTGCATAAGTCGGTACCGACTCGATGGCACCTAACAACAACAACAGCATCCCAAACCTACTGAATCAGAACCTCTGGGGCTCCTTCAGGTGACTGTTATGTACATTGTTGTTGTTGTTAAGTGCCCTGGGGTTGTTTCCGACTCATAGTGACCATATATAGAGTTTTCAGGGAGCAACTGGTAGGTTTGACCTGCAGATCTTGTGATTCACAGTCCAGTGCTGATCCTATAGTGCCACACCAGGAGTCCATTAGAGCTTGAAAACCACTACTCTGAAAGGTATGTAAGTTATGTTGGGTTTATGTTATTTCATGCATTTTGTGATCCCTCCTAAAAGTGCCATGAAGAGTTAGACTGGTTCTTTGAAGATCCCATTTAATTATGATTTTCCTGTGATTGCTTGTTGCTGTTATCTACCCAGTGGTTACGAATCAGGCTGCTAACCTCAAGGTCAGCAGTTTGAAACTACCAGCCGCTCTGCAGGAGAAAGATGAAGCTTTCTCTCCCGTAAAGATTTACAGCCTTGGAAACCCTGTGCAGGGTTGCTATGAGTCAGAGCCAACTCCATGGTACTTAACAACAACCCTTGAGATGACTCTAATTTCTGAGGATCCTATGCACAATCAGAATGCAATGTGTTCTAGCCCTGTCTCAGACTCAAACTTGTCAGCGTGTTCTAGGCCATCATTGTAGCTGTTGTACCAATCTAGCTCCCTGAGGGTCTCCTGTGCCCATCTTGGCCCTCTGTTTCATAGAACATGGGGTATGGTGACTGATCTCTGCTGATGACAGGATCAAAGCATGTGAATTGGACAATGTTGTTTTGTAATACAAATCACTTTCATTAGTTAATTTTTGGAGGTAGAACTCCAACCCTTTCCATTTAATCTGCCTCAGTCTTGAAGTTCTGCTGCAATCTGTCCACCATGGGTGCCCCTGTTGGTATTTGGAATACTGGTGACATCGTTTCCAACAAGACAGCAACATGCAAGCTATCACAGTATGAAAAACTGACAGGGGAATACTGGTTTGATTATTTAGAACTAATTAAATAAAACGATTTCAGATCTGTCCTATATAGATGGTCCTAAAATAGAACTGTCTGTTAGTGAAAAATCACACAGTACTGTCATGCCTAAATAATTCAATGACATTGGTTGCTTTCAGAAAAACTGAGAGTATTTCATATTACTTAAATGATAAGTTTGACACTGTCATTCATGAAACAGAGTAGAAAAACACACACATAACTACCTAATTATATTGATCATATATTTCTTTACACATAATATAAAGCATTTGATATATATGTGTATATATATATATATGTATTTCAGGTCCTAACTGCTTTGCAGAAACTGCTGTTATCCCAGCTGGAAGGGAAGTGAAGACCGATGACTGCACGATTTGTCACTGCACTTATGAAGAGGGCACGTGGCGGATTGAAAGGCAAGCCATGTGCACAAGACACGAATGCAAGCAAATGTAGACTATTTACAACATAAAAACTGAAGTTTTTCTAGGATATTTTACTGAAGTGAACATTCTTGATGACCCCGGCAAATAAAAAATCAAAAGGAGACTTTTGATGAGGAATGACGAAAAATTGTTGATACTTTTGCTTCTCTTGGTAATAACTACTGCAAGAAATGCAAGGAATATATTTCCAAACATCAACAAGAACTTTGGGCATAAAACCCCTCTTTACATAAATGTGCTATTTTCACAGTAAGTACAATAAAGTACACTATTATATATTAAATGTATTTCTATAATCCCTCCATTAGAGAGCTTATATAAATGTTTTCTATAGATACAGATTAAAAATGCTGTGTTGTCAACTGTTCCTGCTGTGTGCTGCATCTTTTCCAGTTTGGATTTCATCACATGGGGATGTTTGTAGGAGCTCTGGTGTGGTGCTGTGGGTTAATGCGCCAGACTGCAAAGCCATTTGAACCACAAGGTTGGTGGTTCAAGCTCACCAGCTGCTCCTCGGAAACCCTATACAGGGTCACTATGGGTCGGAACCGACTCAACTGCACTTAACAACAACAACAACCATCCTTCACAACTCTTATAGAGAAATGTACCCAGAGCATAAGACAGAGGGACTTGCTACTGAAACCCAGTCCAAATTTCATTTAATTAAGGATATATATCTACTTTTGGTACCAAAGGACCTCGTCTAAAATAGCACACACAAAAATATATATTTCCTTCTTATGATAACTTGTTGTTTTTATCGTCTTCATTCTCAGTAATTTGGGAAGCGTAAGCACAAAGGTGACTAAAACACGTTTTTTTCTTTTCATGAAAACCTTTCCAATTGTGGCCATAGAATGTTGTTGTTGTCGTTGTTGTTGTTATGTGCCATTGAGTTGGTAATGACACATTGCCACCCTGGATAGGATTTCCAAGGAGCAGCTAGTGAGCTTGAATCCCCTACCTTGCAGTTCAAAGAGCCTTTAAGGTCCAGCGCATTAACCCACAGTACCACACCAGGATTCCAGGCTGTAGATAAATGATACATATATTTCATTTTCACTTCTATTACCTTTTCCTCTATAGCTTTAATTCATCCCCTAAAGTGAGGAACATGGTGGTCTATAAAATTTTCATTATCGCTCCATAACACTGAAACATGCAGTAAAATAGGGAGAAAGTTACTCAAGTCTCTGGAAGAGAGCTAAGAGTAATGGAACAGGACCAGTTTATATTAAATGTAGTACAAATATCCCCAGCTCTCAGTTCAGTAGATTCATACTTCTTACCAGTGTGAATCAATAAAACTCCTGAAAAATATTAGTATTAATCTCCCTTCAAGAGAAGAGTGAGCAAGCAGTTCCTCAGTCCTACTATGTCAAAAACAAAATAAACAAAAAGCTGAAGGCAAAGAGTACTCAACATCTTACCTGTGGTTCTAAATGATTCTCAACCAACTTCTCTTCTCTACACTTGCATGGGAAATTAAGGAAATGACTGTAAATTCGTGCTGAAAAAAATCAATATGTATTAGCTTGTGTTCCTCCTTTATCATATCCACACTTGGCACATTGGTGAAAGAGGCAATAGAGTTTTAATAGGCATAAGGCATAAAACACTATAATCATTATTTGAAGTCTTTAAAGTTCTGTTTTCTTCTTATTATTATGTATTTATTTATTCCAAAAAGTTGAATTAAGTGTCTATTAAGTAGAAGGTATTGGGATTAGTGAAAGTAATTCATTGTGGTTTCATGCCTCCATGGACTTTTTAGTCTCTGAGATAGCCTGAATAAGAAATTAGAATGGACTGTTTAAAAATTAAACGCGAGTTGTTGATAAGTGCTGTCGAGTCAGTTCTGACTCAAAGTGACCCTATATAGGGTTGCCCAGAGCAGCTGATATGCTTGAACTGCCGACCTTGTGATTCAAATGGATCTTGCGGTTATCCTGCTGTGCCACACCAGAAACTAAACTGGAAGTGAGAAAAAGGTACTGTCTGGATACAGAGATTAATAAGGATAAGATAAGGAAGGCTTCTTAAAAGGAGCTCCAAGAATGCCAAAACAGTTTAAAAAATTAATTACTATCACTAAAAATGCAATAATATTCCAGAAAAAAAATTGATATGCTTGCTAATCATTGAAGAGTGGAAGCATTGTGGACTTTAATGAATACAAAGTCACCACTGGCTAAATTCTTAAGAAATTTATTTCATAATTTTGTATTTTGCTCTTGTTCATAAAGGACATCTTGGAGTACATGCAGTTCATTCACATAGATATTTATGGAAACACTCAGGGGGATTATTATTTAATTGTTCTCAGGTATAATAAATTTTTCATCATTAAAGACTGTTGGATATAGGCCATTACTCAAGGGTAGATTTTTTGTGATACAAAATTATACAAAGATATAGTTTGGCCAACATGTGATCCCAATTGACCCAATGGTTCATTCATTATATCTAACAGTATCTAACAGTAGACAAGTATGCTGTTTTTACCCAGCTAGCTATGGGTGCAGTAAGAAAGACTCAACCAATGAGATCCTAATGCTTCCCTTTCCTTGGTGATGTCAGCTCTAAAATAATTGCAGTGGGTCTTGGATAAAGTACAAGTTTCAAGGCATCTAGTAGTATAACACTGGATTACTAACTGCAAGATCAGTGGTTCATGCACCAGCCACTCCTCAGAAACCCTAAGCAGGGTCGATGACACTTAACAACAACAACAACAGTATTTGATGGTGGTGATTATTAGCTACTGTTGCTCTGACTCCCAATTCATAGCAACACATGTACAGTGGACTTCAATGCTGCCTAACCTTGCACCATCCCATGACAAATGGAGGATCAAACCATTGTGATGCATAAAAATTTAATTTGCTGATTTTTCAGAAACAGTCCTGGTATGTAAGGCCATAGTGATTCCGTGATAGAATTCTCTTCTTCCATGCAGAACACCTCTCTTCTGTTAGTAGAGGCCATTGAGATGCCACAATGCTGAATGCTTTTCAGATGAACTTTAAAACTAAGACTGACTGACAAGAAAGACCTGGTGATCTACTTCAGAAAATTAACCAAGGAAACCCTGTAGATCACAATGGTCCATCTGCAACCAATCACAGGGATGGTACAGGACCAGGCAACATTTTATTCTGTTGTACATGGGGGTCACCAAGAGTTTGGGGTATACTCAATGGTAGAAAATAACAGCAAGTTACTCAGAAAGTTCATGAAAACTGTGTTTTATGAAAAAAAAAAAGAATATATATATATATTATGCATAGATTTCAAAATTACATTGCATTGCTGAGATCCCTGGAACCATCAAGGGAGAGGAACAGAGTGTGAGACCCTACCCAGAGAATGCCAGAGATGGAGGCAGAGACAATGACGTGGAGAGATGGAGCAGCTGAGGACTTTAGACCCAGAGAGGGAGAGAGGCTATGTGCTGATGACCAGGTGGCAGACTTGCAGTGTATACTCTTTGGTTGGTTGATGATGCATGGAGTGGATTCTAACCATAGCAATGAAACAATATACAATAGGATGAACGTAAAGCTAGTGTTCTCTCATATAAATTATCACATAATTAACAATAAAACATTTTTAAAAATTACATTGCATTAAACTAAACTCAAACTAACTTGTTTTGAACATGCCTGAACAAGATCTAGTTTGACTCACTAATGAAAACAAGACATCGGTTTGAAAAGAGCGTCTAGCTCAGGACCATAGTCTCAGGGGATACTATGGTCAGTTGGCATAACATAGCCCACAAAGACAATGTTCTGCATCCCACTTTGGTGAGTAGCTACTGGGAACTTAAAAGTTCAGGTGTAGCCATCCAAGGTGCAACTATCATTCTCTCTCTGTGCAGAAGAAAGTAGAATGATAAAAATTGAAGATGCTTGGAATCCGCTGGTCCAATAGACTAATGAAACAGGTGAACATCGGTCACCATGACTTAGAGATCAGAACTAGATGGTGCACAGCTAGCAATGCCAACTGCTCTGAAAGGGATCACTTTAGAAGGTTACAGATAGAGTAGAGGAAAATGTGTTACAAAACTTAAAATTGTAAAAAAAAAAAAAAAAAAAAGATCCAGCTTACTAATCAGAAAAGGAAACCTGTTAACATAGTTGGTTACACATTGAGCTGCTAACTGTAAGGTCAGCAATTCAAATCTACTAACTACTTCATGAGAGAAAGATGAGGCTTTCTGCTCCCATAAAGATTTATAGCCTCAGAAACACTATACAGGGTCACTATGAATCAGAACTGACTTCATGGCACACAACCACCACCACTGGTCAGAAAGAAACTGGAGGAACCTAAAACTATGGCCCTCAGTCACACTTCAGGTCTGGAATGAACTCACCCTCATAGCCTAATTTTCAGGCTAGTAGTCGATAAGCATAGAGTGGGGACAACAGCACTAGTAAGGTATGCCTATCATGGAATGTTCAACCATTCAAGAGCAAAAGGGCGACATTTACCTAAGGACAAAGCTGAAAGCTGAGAAGTGATGAGAAGAATGGTGGTGGTGGTTATGTACCGTGGAGTTGGTTCCAACTCATAGCGACCCTGGATAGGGTTTCCGAAGCTGTAAACCTTTCATGGGAGCAGAAAGCTTCATCTATATCCTGCAGAACGGCTGGTAGTTGTGAACTGCTGAACTTGAGGTTAACAGCCTGACTCATAACCACTACGCTACTAGAGCTCCTGCTGTTGTTGTTGTTATGTGCCGTGGAGTCGATTCCGACTCATAGCGACCCTGTACAGGGTTTCCGAAGTTTTAAATCTTTACGGGAGCAGAAAGCCTCATCTTTCTCCCTCGGAACAGCTGGTAGTTTCGAACTGCTGACCTTGTGGCTTGCAGCCTGATTCATAACCACTACACTACCAGAACAGAATGGAAATAAGAACCACAGGATGAAGTAGGATAAGTGAGGGATTGAAATCATTGAGCTTAAACAAAGTGTACAATTTGTTGAATGTAAAACTGATAAGCTCTTGGTAAACCTTCACTCAATTCACAATGAAAAGTTTAAAAAATATATATAAAAAGAAAGGAAAGAGCCCTTATCAGAGCAACAAGAATTCTGCTAAAACTGAAATAAGAACAAACATTATGGTAAAGCTTGGGTGAAAGAATGTTGAAATCATTGATGCTTTACAAAACTTTTATGGGAACAATGCCACAAAGAAGTCATCAGTTTATAAATCCATAAGTAGTTTTAAGAAGGGAAGAGATGATGTTGAAGATGAAACCCACAGTGGCAAATCACCCACATCAATTTTCAAGGGAAAAAAATCAATCTTGTTTGTGTGCTGATTGAAGAGGATCAGTGATTACC